GCAGAGGCAAGAGACTCGCTTGAGCCCAGGAGTTGGAGGTTGCTGTGAGCTATGCCACGGCACTCTACCCAGGGGGACAGCTTGAGGCTCTGTCTGAAAAAAAAGAATGAACACTACAAGTATATAATACCTTATGAACTCCAAATTAACCTGAAGTGAAAAGTCCATTGTGGTTGTAGTTAAAAGATCATGGCCCTTTGAGTCATACTTTGGTTTATTTGTCTATATTCATTCAGTTAACAAATTTTAATCTTATAATAAACTGTACTTTGATAGTAGATCAGTGACTTTGAGCAGGTTTTCCAGCTATTTATTCTACACCCTAATTAAGGAAATATGCAGACATCTCTAGCAGTGATATTAAATGAATACTGTATGTTAGATACTAGGACAGATTTTAGGACTATGGAAATGTGTGAAATACTGTTCTTTCTCTCAAGAACAGGGGAAGATTTAGGCGTCCATGTTTATGACTCCAATTTTTTATTTCTCATGCTGATGACTTGTTTTGCTAAGAGAACTTTACCTACATTCCCATCACCATGAGGAGGGCAGCAGATCTTAGGATTATGGCACTGCATTGAAGCTGTTACCTTTTTAAGAAATCTGAGAGGTTATCTTAGAAACTGACTTAGAAAGTCAGTATGCTGACCCTTGTCTAACTAGTGCAAAATGATAGCAGAATGTCTGGGAACCTATGTTCAAAATTAGAACCAGTAGAGTCAGTCGAAAGAGAAAGATGTGATTCTTTAAGGCACTGTCTAAAAATAACTTTTATCAAGTCAGATGCTTATAAGAACATATTTTTGTAGAGTCTGATTGCTGGTGAATATAATGAATATATTTTATAGAGTTGGGTTTAAAATCAGACTAATACCACACCAAATTGTTAATAATGTTTGTGTATAGTAATGTAACTTCAGAGTTTGTTTTTGTTGTTGGTCTTTGGTAGATGATGTTTAAATTTTCTATAGTTATTTCAAAACTTAAATCATATTTTATGTTTTGTTTTAAATTTAAATAATAAAGGAACATTAGTTTATTAAATAAATTTTATTTGGCATCTGTTACATACCAGACACTGTTCTAGGAGCCAAACTTTATTCTAGACACCACCTTTTATACTTACGGCTTTGCTTAGTAAATAATGCAGACTTCTAGGGAATTGTGGAATCATGCCTTCCATGGACTTTTTATAGACATGGCAGGGTCAGGTAAATGGCAAGTTAGGAAAAAGAATGGTTGACACCTTTTTTTTGCTTTGCTTTGTTTTTTGCTTCTTAGACCCATTCCTGCTGAGAATATTTTTAAAAAACCTTTATTGGCTGTTGTGTGTGTATATAAATATGGTTCTCATCTACCAGTTGAAGTATTTGTTGGTAAAATAATATGAAATATGTGGTGTTCTTATAAATACTCCTATAAAAAAGATGGGTAGAGCAACATGTAAAACAAAATTAGCAGATAGTTGCTAATTATTGAAGGTTTATTATTGAATTCCCACTACTTTGTGTGTGCTCAGAATTTCTCATTTAATAAAAAGTTTAAAAAAATAAAAAGTGAAATGCCAAAGATTATGGCTCACCCACGATTCAGGTCTTTAATGCTGTGTTTTCCCCTGTTAGATATGCTTTCTTCTTCAGCAAGCAGTCCTGCTCCTGATCCTGCCCCTGAATCTGATCCTGCTCCAGCTTCAGCCCCAGCTTCAGCCCCTGCTGCTCCTCAGCCTTCAAAAATGGCTAAGCCTTTTGGCTATGGCTACCCAACTCTTCAGCCTGGTTATCAGAATGCTACAGCACCACTTAATTCTGGAGTGCAGCCCAGTAACCCTGTTTATTCTGGATTCCAGCAGTATCCTCAAGTATGTATTCAGTCATGTAAAGACGTTAGTAAAGTTGTAAAACTTCTCAGTTCTGACAAATCCCTGGTGATTCAAATGGATCATAGATACCAAATACACAATACAGATGAGCCTAGATTAAACGTACTTACAGTTTGATACAAGCATTTTTTGTGTATGTATGTGTAGAAAAAGATAAAATGAAATACAAATGTCAAATACAAAGCATTTTTAAAGAGGTTAAATGTAGATCAAGATATTAGATAAGATCTTTATTTTCTTCAGTGTACCTTTATTTTTCAGAGTTAATTTTATAATCAGGAAATTAAAATGATTGTGTTAATTTTTTTATTATATTAAATTTTTGAAATTCTATTACAACTAAGCTGATATTCTTTTCAGAAAATGACCTGGTAAAATGTGATTTGGAATTTTAGATTTATTTTGGTCTCACTCTTCAAGAACTTTGTAGGACACATGACTGACCTTGGTGAGTGGTTTACACACATAAATCCTCTTCAGTTTACATGTTCACTGACTGCCTCTAGGACCCATGGCTGTGTGACTTTTTCTGGACTACCTTATGAATATCATCAGTTTAAAAATTGATATGTTTACCATACTATGAAATACAAGATAGTAAATATTTCATATTTATGCAATATTTATTGAGAGGAAAATAAAATATAGGGAAGTAATTAAAATGGCTAAGCATTTTTACTTATAATAAACTAATCTATAGACTAACTTTATAGAAATTTCACCTTATGGTGAAGTAAGAGTAAAAATTAGAGATAGGAAAATAATAGTGCAATCTCCATTAAAATACCAACATCGATCATACTTTGAAGAAATAAAAAAGCAGTGTTTTGTTTTGTATGGAACCAGAAAAAAAACCCATATAACCAAGGCAGTTCTTGGTAATAAAAACAAACTGGAGACATCACTGTATCAGACTTCAGGTTATATTACAAGTCCATAGTGATCAAAATAGCATGGTATTGGCATAAAAATAGAGACATAAGATGGCACCTGTGGCTCAAAGGAATAGGGCTCTGGCCCCATATGCCGAAGGTGGTGGGTTCAAACCCAGCCCCGGCCAAAAACTGCACAAACCCCCCCAAAATTAAAAAAATAGACATAGACATATGGAATAGCATAGCAAACTTAGAGATGAACCAGCCTTTTATCGCCATCTGGTCTTTACTAAACCATATGGAAGCATACACTGGGGAAAAGAATCTCTATTCAACAAATGTTGCTGGGAGAACTAGATAACCACATGTAAAAGACTGAAACTGTGGACCCACACCTCTCACCACTTAGAAAGATTGACTCAACAATAGATAAAAGATTTAAGTCCAAGAGATGAAATAATAAAAACCCTAGAAAAAAGTATGGAGAAAACTCTTGATGATATCAGCCTATGGAAAGATTTTATGAAGACTCCATTGGCAATCATAACATAACAAAATATATAAATAGCCAAAAAGCTTCTGCACTGCTAAGGACACAACAATTAAAGCAAATAGACAACCTTTAGAATGGGAAAAGATATTTGCAAGTTAATAATCTGAAAAGCTTTGATAACCAGAATCTACAAAGAATTCAGTTTAACAAAAAAGCACAAATTATCCCATCTGTCACTGGGCAAGAGACATGAACTAAGCCTTCTCCAAAGAAGACAGCTGAATAGCTAACAAACACTTGAAAAAATGCTCATCATCCCTAATCATCTGAGAAATGCAAATTAAACCTTGCTGAGATATCACCTAACATCAGTGAGAATAGCCCACATCACAAAGTCCCAAAGGTGCAGGTGCTGGTGATGAAGGTACAGAAAAAGGGAACACTTTTAAACTATTGGTGAGACTGCAAACTAATAAATCCTCTTTGGAAATAAGTTTGGATAATTATCAAAGAATTAAAAGTAGACCTTCTGTTTGATCCCATAATCCCATTACTAGGCATCTAATCAGAAGAAAAAAGAATTATTTTGCCATGGGGACATTTGCACTAGAATGTTTATTGCAGCTCAGTTTATAATCACCAAGATATGGAATAGCCAGATGTTGTGGCAGGTGTCTGTAGTCCCAGCTGCTTGGGAGGCTGAGGCAAGAAAGAGAACCACTTAAGCCCAAGAATTTGAGGTTTCTGTGAGCTGTGACGCCATAGTACTCTACCGAGGCCAAGACAGACTCTGTCTCCCAAAAAGAAAAAAAAAGTAACTTGGGTTATTGATCATAATTGGAATGAGCTTCATAAAGCCAAAATACTTATTTTCTTTCTTTTTGGGTGGGGGGGGATGACAGATTCTCACTTTGTAGCCCTTAGGAGAGAGCCATCACATCACAACTCACAGCAACCTCCAGCTCCTGAGCTTAGGTAATTCTCTTGCCTCAGCCTCCCAAGTAGCTGGGACTACAGGTGCCCGCCACAGTGCTTAGCTATTTTTTGTTGCAGTTTGGCCAGGGCCGGGTTTGAGCCTGCCACCTTCAGTATATGGGGCCAGCCCCCTACTCAATGAGCCACAGGCGCCTTCTAAGCCAAAATATTTAGAAGTAGAGTCTTAGAGATCCAACTACTCTTATCTTTCTTTTTTAACTTTTTATTGAAATACATATATTATATAAAAATATACAGATGAATAGCATACAACTTGATGAATTTCACTGATTCATCATTAAGTGATTGAATAGACACTTAATAGCCAGAAGCATCTTTCATGCTTATTCTAGTCATTAACCAGGTAACCACTATCTTGATCTTTAATAGCATAGATTAGTTTTGCTTGTTTCACATACATGTGTGTGTGTGTGGTGGGGGGTTGCATCAGGAACTGACTCCCCAAAGCAGGTTTTTGCACATCTGATTAAACCTGACAACCAAACCTGCAATACAAATCACTGGTGGGGTCAGTTCCTGACCTTCCGCCCCCAGCCGTGGGTATACAACTGTTAAACTTTATATAAGTGGAATCACTGTGTATGTACTTTTTTGTCTTGATTCTTTTGCTCAACATAATGCTTATTGTGTGGTTCTAGTGTATTCATTTTCATTGTTATGTCGTAGTCCATTGTGTGACTATAGCAACAAATGATGCTGTTCTGAACATTTCTGTCCCTGCCTTTTAAGTGAAAAAGATCTATAGATATGAATTGAATTGCTGAGTTATGGGATATTCGTATTATTCAATTTTAGCAACTTTAGTTTAATCCTGAATGATTTTCCAAAGCAGACATTCTGACTTACACTTTTTAAGCAGTGTGTGAAAGTTCTGATTTCCTTACATCCTTATCAACACTTGGAATTTTGACCCTTTTTTTTTAATATCAGACAATCACTTTCTTTTCATTTTTTAAGGAAATTGAGACTGAGATAAGTGAAAGCACTTGTCCAATATGTGGCTTGGTTCTGAGAATACAAATGACCTTGTAGTTCAAAACAATATTAAGCACTTTTTTTCTCTTTAATTCGTGGGAACTTGTGCGTCCTAAAATCAGACTCAGATATCTCTCCAAAGAAGATTGCAATTAGTTATTTATATTTGTCTGATAAAAATTTGAAAGAGTTTTTTGGCCACTACTATTTCAGGAGCAGTGAACAGTAATGATTTAGGCAAATAGCTGGGATTTACATTTAAATTCTTAACCTGTCTACTAAAAAAAAAATCAGAGATTTTCATCTAAGATTAACATTGTCAAACTAATTTTTAAAAAGCTATTTTTGGAGTTATGCTTAAGAATATCTTTCTTTAGGGGCACTGCCTATGGCTCAGTGGGTAGGGCACCAGCCCCATTATTGAGGGTGGCAGGCTCAAACCCAGCTTTTGTTTTTTATTATAAATTTAGTGATATGAATTATAGAAAATGCAGATAATCACAAAGAAGAATCTCAGCCAATTTTCTACCAAATTATAAACAGCAGCACTTTGGGTCTCCTTCCAGGTGTCTTGCTATCTAATTTGAAGGGAAAGCTAGTGTAGAAGCTAGTCATTTATTTAAACAAATAAGAGATGAAAAATATGGACATTGTTTTGGAAATTTAAAAAATTCTTCTAATAGTGTAAGAAGAAACCATAGACTTCATCATTTTGATACCCATATGTTTTATAATAAGTTTACCATTTGTTGGGCACAACTTCAATGTCAAAATCAGAATCCCTTTGTATACCCCCCCATACGTACATCCAGTCATGCACTAGGTGACATTTCATTGACAGACCACATATATATACACACACACACAGTGGTGGTCCCATGAGATTAGAGTAGAGCTGAAAAATTCCTATCACCTAGTGGCATTGTAGCCATCATAATGTCATAGTGCAGTACATTACTCATGTGATGACGCTGGTGTAAACAAACTTACTGCCCTGCTAGTCACATAAAAGTATAATAAAAAGAGTTGTACACATTACATAATACCAGTTTATGACAATAAGTGACTGTGTTAACTGGTTTATATATTTACCTTTCATCGTTATTTTAGAGTGTATTTTTTCTACTTATGGTAAAAAAGTTAACTACAAAACAGCCTCAGGCTGTTCCTTCAGGAGCTGTCCGGGACCAAGGCATTATTATTAGAGGCTAATATGTTTATGTATTACTTTTTAACAAAAACATTTAAAAAGTAAAAAAATGAAATGAAAAAAATTCTTAAATAGAGAAAAATATTTTTATATAACTATACAATATGTATTTTAAGCTAAATATTATGAAGGAGTCAAAAGGTTAAAAAAATTAAATGTTTATAAGGTAAAATAGTTACAGTAAACTAAGATTAACTTATTATTAAAGGAAAATGTTTTAATAAATTTAGTATAGGCTCAGTGTACAGAGTTTATAAGGTCTTTAGTAATGTATAGTAATGTCCTAGGCCTTCATAGTCATTTCCCGCTGACTCACCCACAGCAACTTCCAGTCCTGTAAGCTGCTTTCTTGATTAGTATCCCACATAGGTATAAAGGTTTGTCTATCTTTTATACCACATTTTTACTATAACGTTCCTGTGTTTTGATACACAAATCTGACATTTATAATAATATTGGTGTTGTTAACTTTGAGAACAGTATACTATAGGATAAAACAATGCTTTTACCATTAGGGACCAAGATTTCTAACAAAGGAAAAGAGAGACGAGATATAAAATCGAAGAAGTTAATTAAAATCTTGTACTTCGGCTTGGCGCCTGTGGCTCAAGTGGCTAAGGCGCCAGCCACATACACCTAAGGTGGCGAATTTGAATCCAGCCCGGGTCTGCCAAACAACAATG